AACCTTTCTCTCCTTTCCTTTCCTGTTCTTTTCTTCCCTCCACTATTTTTTTTTTTTTTAAGTCCTGGAAGGTGGCCTATCCCCTCTCTCCCGGCTTCCCCAGCTATTGTTACCCTCCCCGGCTCTTTTCAGGGGCGCGTCTGGACAGGTGGGGTTCTTGGGGTGGCTCACCGCCCTGCTCCAGCGAGACCCCGGGGGAAGCCCGGAGCCACCGTCTCCCTCCCTCCCTCTCTCCCGAGAAGCCATATGGAGCCTGGATTTTTCCAACATGGAGGCAAGGGAAATAGACATGTTTGGCTTGGTAGAGCTGCTCCCCACCCCCTCTCCTCCTGGATCCCTAGATCTCGGAGCCCGTCCACACCTTCGCCTCTTCTCACTGTCCCATCAGCCAGGCCTCTGTGCCCTGCTGCTGAACCAGGCCTGCCAAAGGCAACTCCCCGAGCGGAGTTGCTAAGGCGCTTTTTAATTCGGTTACCTCCAGCGCCCAAACTTGCTGCCCTCAGCGCGGTGTGCTTGGAACCTGCCGCTGCTAGCCGGCTAGGCGTCCTGGACGCTTCCTCTTCGGCTCCTTGGGCCAGCATAGCCGGTGGCCAGCCACCCCGGCAGCCGCGGCCGAGACAGCCCGGAGGCGGCAGCCAGGGGCTAGCTCCATCCACAAACCTCCCGGCCCTTTCTCGCCGCTGGCAGAGTCTCCATTCTTTCCTGTTACGTCTCTGGCTTCTCCGATTCCCACACTCGCCTGCCTGGCCTCTGTCCTGCGATGGTGTGCAGGTTTATTGCAGGGTGAACGTCAGGAATTTCGGCCCCAGGCGTCTAGTCAGATTATTGCTTTATTATCATCATCATCATCATCATCATTACTGCTGTAACAATCATTTAGACTAAATAAAGCCAGGGCCCAGCCAGCCAACCCCTTCCAAGGTTTTTATTTCATTCTCTTCTCTATTAATAACAAACTTAACTGATGCCTGTTAATTAATTCCCCCTTCATCCCGGGCTGCTCCGAAGCTAATTTTGGTTAAATCATCAGAGGCTAATGGTAATAATAATAAAGGGACTGGGTCAGCCTGGTCAATTGAACTCCAGGTCTCCTCCCTGGACGGACCTGCTGCTTTACCGACCCATGTGTATTTCCCAGAAATAAATTCTTCCCAGAAACCAATCGGAACTCAGGGCTACCCGGGCTCCCTTTTGAGTGTAAATCTGTGCCATTAAGAAGGGGATTTATGTGTGGGAGGGACTTCCCTCACCTGCACTCCTTTTATTTTCCTATTTTGAGTTTTCTTTGGAGTTGACCAGCTGTGCTGAATGAGATTTAAGTAGACCAAACTCACATGTCAGAAGAGAGGGTCACTCTGGAGGTTTTATGAAATGCGATGGTGAGAGATGCGGGAAGACAGGGAGGAAAAATGCAGTCAGAAGTTTTAGAGAAATACACAAAATCCTACGACAGCTCACAGCTTTATTCTTTCTGTATCATTTTAAAAGTCTGCATTAAAATAATGATTTTTTTTTGCCTCGGAAAACTTCAGCAAGCAAGGTACTCTGTTTCCAATCCAGAAAATAATATTGTTCTGATTGCTCTGTTGACTTTCTTTTTTTTCTGCCTTGGGGAAAGATGTTCTCATTCAGGAAGCACTTTTGTATCTCTTGATAGAAAAGTCCAGCCGTTATCCAGTTTCTCTCTGTCTTCTTTTCTTTTCTTTTCTTTTCTTTTCTTTTCTTTTCTTTTCTTTTCTTTTCTTTTCTTTCTTTCTTTCTTTCTTTCTTTCTTTCTTTCTTCTTTCTTTCTTTCTTTTAGAAATGAAAGGAAACAGACTGTCAAGGAAAGGATAGGGAAAAAAATTAGGTCTGATGAAAAAAATGGAGCGGGGAAAGACCTGGGCCAAATGGTCACTGCACCAACCAGTTGGACCAGGGAAATGGAAACAATCCTGCTCCATCTGGAGGCCCCATGGGGGCTGCTAGCTGCTGGGTCCCAGCCTTGGCTGAGCAAAGACTCAGATGGAAAGTGGTGGTACCTGCAGCAGAGCCATGGAGGAGGCTTAGTTCTGCTGGCTCCTGGAGGTTAAAAATCTTCTGGAAGTTTCTAGGTCAGGCTGATGCTGTCCTTGTGATGTGGGAGGGGAGAGAGAGGGTTCCTCACAGGAGAAGGTTCCCTGCTCAACTTGGTTCTCCTTTCTGTCCCTTCGGAGACCTCTTTTTTGGGGTTTTTTTTTCCCTCCAGGCTAGACTGCTTGGGTAAGAAACCTAGATGGACACGGAGCAAGGCAAAGACAGGAGACAGGAGGCCTCTCAGCTCAGAGGACGGTGTTGGTGATGCTTTTATTTTGGAGTCTCCTAGTTCCCCCCTCCTTGAGCCACCCTGTCCCAGAGTTAGTGGTGGAGGGGTGGGTTGGGAGGGGGAGGAGGAGAGGTCAGGAGCTGGCACTAAGTCACCAGTGAAGCCCTGGCCTTTGCTGTAGGAAGATTCAATACTTAGGCAGTCCCCAAAGGAGTAGAGTCCTTATTTTTGAAGTGGAAATAAAAACTGGTGGACTTTTTCTTTAAAATTAAAATAAGAAATAAGCAAAATCCATTTCAGGTCAGGAAAGTGGCCTCAGCATCTGCTTTGAAGATGTTGGGGTGGGGGAGAAGAAGAAACCCTATTGATGTCAGGTCCCTTTTCAGCTCCTAAGATGGATTCGAGCCCCAGTCCTCTTCTCCCCCTTGTGTCTCTTCTCTCACCCCGCAGGTCAGCCGCTCCCAACGGACTCGGGAGGAGGGGGGCAGAGAGGGGAGGGGGGGTCCGGCGCCTCACGTGACCCCCGCGGGTGCCAATGTCCGGTCGTGAGGGTATCAGGCTCTTGCAAGTTGCCACCCACTGCCCGGGCCTCGCCCAGCGATGCAGAAAGCCACCTACTACGACAACGCCGCGGCAGCACTCTTCGGAGGCTATTCCTCGTACCCTGGCAGCAATGGCTTCGGCTACGACGGTCCCCCCCAACCCCCTTTCCAGGCCGCCACGCACCTGGAGGGCGACTACCAGCGCTCGGCGTGCTCGCTGCAGTCCCTGGGCAACGCGGCCCCGCAGGCCAAGAGCAAGGAGCTCAACGGTAGCTGCATGAGGCCCGGCCTGGCCCCCGAGCCCCTGCCCGCCCCGCCCGGCTCACCCCCGCCCAGCGCCGCACCTACCAGTACCACTAGCAACAGCAGTAATGGGGGCGGGCCCGGCAAAAGCGGCACCCCCAAGTGCGTTCCGGGCTCCAACTCCACCCTCACCAAACAGATATTCCCCTGGATGAAAGAGTCAAGGCAAACGTCCAAGCTGAAAAACAGCTCCCCCGGCACAGGTACCAGCTCTCTGCCTTCCTCCTCGTCAGCTTTTGTCAGGGCCAGGAATGTCACTGTTATTCTAGCACCCGGCCCCTAGGCGCCCAGGCGGCGGCCTGGGAACAATGTCAGGTGGCAGCTGCGGCAGCAGCGCTTTTCCCGCCCCCCACCCCACCTGATGACCCCTGACCCCGCCAACACCCTCTCCTTCTAGCCACCCTCCACCTGAGCTCCGGAAAGCCGGGTGCTCGCTCGGCCTCAGCCCTCTGCAAGGCCGCAGAGCCACAAGACGCTGCCCGTAGACGCAGAGTCGTCAACGATTGATTATTATTAAGTATGATTACTGTGGGTATTAATCACAATCGCTCCGGTGGCCCCCGGGGTCTCGGCCTGCAGGCAAAGCAGCCTCTTTGAGCCACACTTCGGCGCCCTAACCACCCACCGAATGTCCAGATTCCCCCAGGGGATCTCCTTGGCCGCCCACCTTGTCCACAGGACCCAGCGGGAAGTGTGTGTGTGTGTGTGTGTTGGGGCGCGGCGGGGGGAGGTCTTCCCAGAAGCTGGAACTGGGGATAGGGGGGAGAAAGCGTGCGCGAGAAAATCCAGCTCTAAATAAATGGCCATGCGGCTCTGTCTGCGTGACATGATCAAATTTTCATAAGCTGGGGCAGCAAGAGGAGAACAGGTCTCTTAATAAATGCCACTATTATAGAGTGTCCGCTAATGCGACGGGCGTTGGGGGGGGTGGTGAGGAGGAGGCGGGGACGGGAAGGGGAGGGCGGCGGGGGCTCCGAGTCCAGGCCTGGATTTATTAAGAAACCATGCATTCAATTTCGGCGTGTTCAGTAATTATCTTTTATTTCATTTTGTCCCCTTCCCACCCCTCCCCCTCGGATCCAGCGGAGGGCTGCGGCGGCGGCGGCGGCGGCGGCGGCGGCGGTGGCGGCGGCGGCGGGGGCGGCGGCGGCGGCGGCGGCGGCGGCGGCGGGGGAGGGGACAAGAGCCCCCCGGGGTCGGCGGCGTCCAAGCGCGCGCGGACGGCGTACACGAGCGCGCAGCTGGTGGAGCTGGAGAAGGAGTTCCACTTCAACCGCTACCTGTGCCGGCCGCGCCGCGTGGAGATGGCCAACCTGCTGAACCTCAGCGAGCGGCAGATCAAGATCTGGTTCCAGAACCGGCGCATGAAGTACAAGAAGGACCAGAAGGCCAAGGGCCTGGCCTCGTCGTCCGGGGGCCCCTCCCCCGCCGGCAGCCCCCCGCAGCCCATGCAGTCCACGGCCGGCTTCATGAACGCCTTGCACTCCATGACCCCCAGCTACGAGAGCCCGTCCCCGCCCGCCTTCGGCAAAGCCCACCAGAATGCCTACGCGCTGCCCTCCAACTACCAGCCCCCTCTCAAAGGCTGCGGCGCCCCGCAGAAGTACCCCCCGACCCCGGCGCCCGATTACGAGCCCCACGTCCTCCCAGCCAATGGAGGCGCCTACGGGACGCCCACCATGCAGGGCAGCCCCGTGTACGTGGGCGGGGGCGGCTACGCGGATCCGCTGCCGCCCCCTGCCGGCCCCTCCCTCTACGGCCTCAACCACCTTTCCCACCACCCCTCGGGGAACCTGGACTACAATGGGGCGCCCCCTATGGCCCCTAACCAGCACCACGGACCCTGCGATCCCCACCCTACCTACACAGACCTCTCCTCTCACCACGCGCCTCCTCCTCAGGGTAGAATCCAAGAAGCGCCCAAATTAACACACCTGTGATGGGAGAGGGAGGGCGGAGGGGCGAGGTCATGGGGTGGGTGAGAGCCAGGAGGGGTGCGAGGACCCGCGGAGCTCTGGGAGGGCAGCCCAGAGATCCGAAGGATGAGCCCGAGCCCCCCCATCCCCACCCCCACCCCCGCCCCTGCCAGAGGTGATAGCCACGATTCCTGGAAGAAGAGGCCTGGAGCTCCTCTCCCAACCCCTGGCCTGAGAAGTTGCTTTTTACGGGCCTTCAGTCCTTGTTCCATCTGCCTGCCAACCCATTGGAGAAGAATCCACAGTGGACTGTGGAGATGACCCCATCAGCCCTAGGCCTCCAGCAATACCCAGTTGGAATGCCATGCTCCCCAGTGGAGTGGAGGAAGAGGAGATAGGGAAACAAGGCAGAGAAGCACATTTTAAAAAACAGACAAGATGGCTAAGCCATCACCAACCAACTTACCTTCCATCTTTGTGGGTAATTCCTCCAAATCTCGATTTTTTTCCTTTCTTGCAATTCTCCTTTAAAATAAAAAAAAAAAAGGCATTTCAAAACCAAGGGCACAAAGCAAATTCCCCTCCCCTTTCCACGAAGTCTCAAGTTTCTTCCCATCTATTTGAGGTTCTTGGGCATTCCCTCCATTGCTAATCCCATATTTTCTGCTTTAGGACTTTAATATCTGTACCCCAGCCGCCCCCATCTTTTACAGTTTTCAGAGGGCTCAGGGATGGTGAGAGATCCTGAAAGTCAGAGCTGTCTATAATATAAATATATATATTTTTCTTTTATGGAAACTGGGAGGCCAGAGCAGGCAAGATGTCAGGACTGCAGGTTTGCCCATTCTGCTGCCTCCCGTCTCAGCTCCAGGACCATCCCCCTCTCTCCACAAAAAAGTCGGCGACACGAGGTTCTACACTTTTCTTTTCTTCTGTTGCTCTCTTGACTTAACGTGAAAACAGGGTATATTTTAACAAACTGTCTGTCCCGGCCAGGGGCTGCAGCTGGGCCTGTGTGCCTTGCTCAGCCCCCTGACAGGACACTTTTGTTGCACTTAGAGTTTACATTTTAATGGATATAAAAACAACTGTGAGAGATGCTTGGGTCTTCAGGAGTCCAGCATCGCTCAAAAAGTGTGTGTTCTAGTGAACATTTTCATATATATTTATTGGTTATAGCCTGTTAAAATATTTTCTTTTTTGTATTATTTATCCCCCTACATTATGTATTTATATGAGGGAAAAAATGAAAAATTGTACTTTTCTAGTATTTACTTGTTATAAAGGACGTTGTGTTTCCTGTCATGTAAAACCAGCTATTTTAGTTATTGTACTCTAGAAAAGAGCTGTAGATTTATGTTAAACGCGTACTGATGAGCAATTGTAATTAGTTCTAAAAGGCATGAACTCAGCTCCTATTGTCACTGTATAGTCCTGAATTTGTAGAATTAGAGTTAATTCCCTCTTGGAACTTTCTTTGTTCTTCCGTACTTTTTTCCTTACTTGAAAGGGTTGTCTGTCAAACCAATTCTTGAATAAACTTTCTGTTATCAATTTTATCTTGTCCTGGTGGTCCAATTTAGATAGCCTCCACCGCCCCCCCCCACCCCCACCCCTTGTCAGGCCTCAGGCCTGGAATGTTCTGCCAACTTCTTTAGCTAAGATTTCAGTAACAAGTTGCAGGGGTGGGGGTGGGGGAGGAGAACCCTTAGGTGCTCTCTTTAGGTCTTTCTGTTTGGCTTCCTTGCCTCTCAGTTTTTCTCATTGACCTTTTGTCTTCTTGCTCCTTTGGCCACAACTTCCTGGCCTCCCTCACCCAACAGCAACAACAACAACAACAGGAGCAGCAGCAACAACGACAACAACAACAAAATCTGGCCGTGTACTGCTTCTTCCAAGCACCCTAAACTTCCCAGTTCTCTTCCGGAGCTACAAAGAAGTCGTCACGTGACCCGAAGCCCAACCACCATTGGGTCTAAAATGAAAACAAAGGAAAATAATTAAAAAAAAAAATCTGAGGCCTAGACTTCTCAGGTCAAACCTTAAAACTAAAGTGAAATTAAAACACTAAATAAAACTCGGGGTGGAGGGAGAGGAGGCGCCTTTGATTGCCCTGCCCAGGAAAGGGGAGGAGGGGGGAAGTGGTCGGATCCAAGCGTAAATAAAATGGTCCCCAGGCTAATGTGCAGCTCCATCTCCACGATCCTGGGGAAAACTTCATTTCTTAGTCGTGGTTCCATAAAAGTTTTATCACGTTGGAGCGAGGATAGAGAGGGTCTGTCAAAGATGAAATGTCACCACCGCGTCGCTGGAGCCGATAAGAGCGAAGAGACAGGGCGGCTGAAATATGGAGCTAATTCGTTGAAAGAGAAGCGATGGCTGCACTGAAGAGTTGCATAATTCTAATTGTAAGCGATGCGCCCGCATTGCTTAATTAGGAGCATATATTTGGTGGTAGTGATAGGGGGGCAGTGTCAGTGAGAATCGTTCCAGGCCCTCAGCCTTAAAGCGAGGGCTGATTTTCATTTTTATGTTGCATCCTGGCAGTCCAAGGTTAGTAATTACAGTCTTTATGCAACAATAAATAACAATAAAAAAGCAACCCGAATTCTATACCCTCCCCCCACCACCACCACCAAGTAGGATTTTTAACTGGACTGGGCTCATCCAAGCAGCAAGCAATTTAGCATCGGGTCAGGCTATAATTTAAAGGCATAAGAGCGTGCAAAGTTTGATTGGGATCAAATAACGCTCAAGGGTTTTTCTTTCTGTCTTTCCCTCTTCCTCTTCCCTGAATAACATTTTCTGAATGATGTAACTAGATGAAGCGCCATGTTTGGCTCTGGGGGTGGAGTGGATTGATTATTTATCTAGCAGGAGAGAGGCAGGCCAAGAGAAGGAATTTAGCTTGAGTTTGAAAAAAAAAAAAAGGAGCTTTGGCTGGAAGCTGGAATTGCAAACGAAAAATAAGGGCCCACTTGGCCTGGTGTCCTCTAGCCTTCTTCCTGTGAGATTCCAGGCGCTGGCTCAGCAGCCAAAGTCGTGGGGGAAATATCTCTGCACAACAGGAGGCGGGGAAGCGGTGTCTCTGGGAAGGAGGGCTCCCTTGGCCCCTATTTAACACCCAACTTTTCTGCTGTTCTCTAATCTGGCCGTAAAATCTGTCAGCGGGGTTAGAGAGCCGTATTTCCTGCAGGGACAGTCTGGGCCGGGGGTGATGCCGAGAGAAGCAGGCACTCCACCCTGCAGCCAGCTGGAGAGGCGGTGGAAGGAACTTCCACGGCTTCTCGAGGGGGTGGCCGGAGGGAGAATCCTCTTTTTAGGCCTCGCTGCACAACTTTCAGACGACTTCTACTTGGATTCTTCTGTGCCCATCCCCCCCTCCACCACCCTCCTCCCCGCACACCCCCCACCCCAAGGGCAAAAACTGCCTTCTTTGGAGCGGAGCTGGACGCTGCGGTCTCTGGCCAGTTTGCCCAGTTCAGAGCATCCTTCTCTTTGCTGAGCCCTCCAGAGGCGTCCACCCTCTGCAGCCTGCCACGTACAAATCCCCTTTCTCCCTCCTGGCTCTCCTCTGGCCTTCGAGAATACTCACCGCCACCCACGCGGACGAATACTCACCGCCACCCACGGGACTGTTAGAGTGACACAAAGTTTCTAGTTCCAGCGGCCGGCTCATCTGCCATTTCTCTGCTCACCAGCCTTCTCCTCTGGGCCCAGCCGCCGAGAGGGGGAGGGGGAGGGGAGGCCGGAGCCGTGGGAGTTCTCCAGACAAACTTTCCACCCAACTCAGCGGCCTTCCCTCTGTCCCCATTTCCCATCTGTTTCCCCGCTCTCGCAGAATCACCTTTCTCTTTGGCTATCACCCCCCACCCCCAGGCCTTTTAAAGGGATGTGGAATTTAGGCTGTTCCCTCCGCTTTCCCAAAGAGCCAAATTCTTTGATGCCATCGGAGGGAGCTGTCAGGGGGCTAAGATTGATCGCCTCATCTCCTCTCCGTCCCTCTGACCCACTTATTTAAAAATCTTCCCCCAGATCGACTTTTCATTTTCTGCTTTTGAGATCTGGTTTCCCACCAATGGCTTGGGGCCCGGAGTCTTGTGTTCCCTCTCTCCAGTAAATTACAGCACTCCCTAAAGTTCAGACTATCTTGATCCCCTTGAAATAAATAAATTAAAAAGAAATCTCCCCCAGGGGCCAGAAATGGAATGTCATCTCCTTAGTCAGTGTTTTCACCCCCTCCATGCCCAGAGAATTTTTTCTTGCCAGGGAATTTTTTCTTGCCAGGGATTTTTTTTTTTTAATTTTAACTAGCACACTGGCAAAAATAGGAGAGGGGGATACTCTTTGTCCTGGGAGGGAACTCCTCCCAAACATTGAGTTTGAGAGTGCTCAAAGTTAAATCCGACTACCTTCGTTCTGGTTCCTGTCCCTGGATATAGACACGGATACTTGACTTGAGGCTCTGAATGGGAGCAGATGCACCTTATGCCCTGTCAGTGTGGGGTGTCAGAAAAGAGTGAGACAATGACTCCAGGTGAGAAAGGCAGGTGGACATGGGGCAAGGGCAGTGCTGCAAATGCTGGAGCTGAGACCACACAGCTATGGCGGCCAGAGGCCCAAAAGGGCCCCTCACCATCTATCTCACTCCTCTGTGTCAGCCTGGGAGTGCCTGTCGATTTTCTGAGATTTATCTGTTGCTTTTGGGGGGTGGGAAGGGGATCCTGGTGCTGATGATTGTAAATCTCATCTCTTCCTTATTGCACCTTAACACTGACCTTTCCCAAAGGATGGGAGCCTCTTTCTACTTACTACCTCTTCCTCCCACGTTGAGATCCTTAGTCAGCCTTCTTTCTTTTTTCTTGTTTTAGTGGGGGGTGGGGGGGGGGTGGGGAAGAAAACGCTGCTGGCGTTGTGGAGAAAGCATTAATGTATTCTATTACAAATATTTGGAAAAGAGGAAGACTTTTCCTTTAGATTCTCTTGTTTCCCAGCTTTTGGAACCTCCCATCCTCTGAAGGGGATGAGAAAAATGTTCCTCTAGCTTTTCTGGAGAAAGGGGGGCATTGGAGAGAGGGAGTATAGGACTTGGGGCTCACAGCGTCCAGGTCGTGGTCCTCTAGAGTTTTTGAATCAATTAAAGCAAATAATGCTCTCTGTTTTCCACCAGGCCCAGACAAGCGATTGGCCGAGGCCAGTCCCGTGACCATGAATTCCCTGCAATTTCGCCGGAGTCCTGGGTTTAATAGAGAGAGTCCCCATACGCTTGTATTTATCAGCAATATACAATTATAAAGGCCCAAAATTAAAAAAAAGAGAGAGAGAGAGAGAGAGGGAGAGAGAGAGAGAGAGAGAGCACGAAATCTCCCCCTCCCAAAATCGCTCCATCACATAAACCTGGGGGGGGCAGGAGGGGGGGTCCCTTCCGATCCTCCCTCCTGACGCCCCCCCCAGCAGGCCCCCTCCCCCACCATTGAAAGCCATGAATTTTGAATTTGAGAGGGAGATTGGGTTTATAAACAGCCAGCCATCGCTCGCTGAGTGTCTGACTTCCTTCCCCGCTGTCTTGGAGACATTTCAAACTTCATCAATCAAGGAGTCGACATTAATTCCTCCTCCTCCTCCTTTCGAGCAAACCTTCCCCAGCCTCCAGCCCGGCGCCTCCACCCTTCAGAGACCCGGGAGCCGAAAGCGAGCCGAAGATGGGCCCGCTCTGCCGCCGCCGCCGCTCCCCGCCGCCCCCTTGGTCCCCGAGTTCCCCTGGATGAAAGAGAAGAAATCCGCCAAGAAACCCAGCCAATCCGCCTCGTCTCCCCCAGCCGCCTCCTCCGTTTCGGCCTCCGGGGTCGGCTCGCCAGCAGGTCGGTGAGCGGGGTAGGGGTGGGGCGAGGGGCAGCGAGAAGAGAGGGGGAGAAAGAGGATGGGGAGGTCGAAAGGCTGTCGAGCCTGTTGGGGATCCTTCCCCATCGATTTCAGGGACAAGGAAGGGAAATAGTAGTACTGCTGGGGTTCAGGCCTGACCGCTGCCAGCATTTCTTTCTTTCTTTCTTCTTTCTTTCTTTCTTTCTTTCTTTCTTTCTTTCTTTCTTTCTTTCTTTCTTTCTTTCTTTCCTTCCTTCTTCTTTTCCCCCACTCTAGCAGATTTTGGAAGCTGGTTGGGGAAGAGCTTTTTCTCTGCTAGAAGAAAAGGGATTGATGTAGGTTTTCACCTTTATCTGTGTGGAGGAATGAAAGTGGTGTTGCTGGGGTTGCATTAGGGGGCGAGAAACCATTCGGTCCCATCTCCCACGGCTCTAAAAGAGGGAATGTGAAAGCTAGGGAGGAAAGGAGGTGTGGGACAGTCTTAGTGAGCCCTCTCTCTGGGTTGAGCTTGAAAGTGCCGAATTGAGGGGTTCACTCCAAGGACTCAGAAGAGAGGCTCTGAGGTCCTGGGGGGGAGGGCAAGGGGGAGCCGCTCCCTACTCCCTGAGTGGCCCGTGGGCGGCTCTCTGAAAGCTGTGCCCTGACCCCGGGCCGGTCCACCGGCGAGAGCGCGACAGCAAAGAACGCAGAAGCTAAGAGAGCCAACCCTTGGGGGGTAGGCGGGAAGGAGGGGGCTACTGCTGATACTGTTTTTGGCGGACGGGGTGGTCTTCACTTCAGCTGAACGCGGTTGGGCCGGGGACACAGCCCGCCCTGACGCCCAGCCCGCTTTCCCCGCAGATGGCCCGGGCCCGCCGGAGGCCGCCGGTGGCGGGGCGCGCAGGCTGCGCACTGCTTACACCAACACGCAACTGCTGGAGCTGGAGAAGGAATTCCACTTTAACAAGTATCTGTGCCGGCCGCGCCGCGTCGAGATCGCGGCCCTGCTGGACCTCACCGAGAGGCAGGTCAAAGTGTGGTTCCAGAATCGGCGCATGAAGCACAAGCGGCAGACGCAGCACCGAGAGCCGCCCGACGGGGAGCCGGCCTGCCCGGGGGCCCTGGAGGACAGCGGCGAGCCCGCCGAAGAGCCTGCGGCCGGCCCGGGTCGGCCCTCCGCCTCGCGGCCAGCGCGGGAAGCCTGCTGCCACCCGGCCGAGGTCGCGCCGGCCCCCCCGGGCCCCCCGCCCCTGACCGCTTCCGGGGGGGGCGCCTCGCGCGCGGCCGCGGGGTTGGAGCCCGAGCCGTTGCCGGAAGATGCCTTCCCGGAGCGCCAGGATTCTCCTTTCCTGCCCGACCTCAACTTCTTCGCAGCCGACTCCTGTCTCCAGCTGTCCGGAGGCCTCTCCCCCAGTCTGCAGGGCCCGCTCGACAGCCCGGTTCCCTTTTCCGAGGAAGAGCTGGACTTCTTCACCAGCACCCTCTGTGCCATCGACCTGCAGTTCCCTTAACCTATGTCCTCCTCCTGGCCCCTTGACGCCGTCCCCCTCAGCCGGGTGCTGGAAAACCCGAGGACCCCTCTCACCCCCCCCCAAGTCGTTTAGACCTTCTTTATGTGTTTTGCAAAAATTCAGGTATTATTGAGTTAGCGCTTAATCCATTTCCTTTCTCCTCTCTCTCAAAAATGGGGCACTCGGGCGTCTTTTTAGAATCACACAAGAAAATTCCGTTTGCTAGACTCCTTCCAACGAAATCTCAGGAATAATTAAACTCTAGGGGGGCTTTCTTAAAAAAGAAATAGAGGAACTTGTTTTCCTCTCTTTTTTTTAAAGTTTTAGGCCGTAGATTATTTATTAAAATTCTTTAATAATAGGAAAAGGGGAAAGTATTTATTGTACATTATTTTCATAGATTAAATAAATGTCTTTATCATACGAGCAACAGTGTTTGTGTTGGGACCCAGCCCCTTTCCCTGCATCCCCCACCCCAAGCCCGCCGTCACTCCTCGCGCGACCCCGGGCCGGCTCAGTCCGGGTGGTACAAAAGTAACCCTATTTGGCCACCGCCGCCCGGGCGCGCAGTTCGGGAGCAGTCGGGCATCTGCCGGGAGCTCTGTCACCTTCACACCCTCTAACAGCCGGCCTCTGGCCCTGCGCTGCTGTTCCCGGGCCTCTGCTTAGAAATAAAGGTGGGCGGGTGGGGGGAGAAGGTGCAGACGTGCGTGCCGGGAGAGCAGGCCTTGGCGACGGGCTTCGGGGGTCGTGGCAGGGGACGCAGAGGGGTGTAGCCGAATTTGGAGGGACCCTAGGGTTTCCCGGGTTTCTCGCTTCGGTGCCCCAGCGGAGTGCAAGCCAAAGGCTTTCTCCGGGACGCAGGAAGCCCGGGGACGCCGGGCCTGGCCAAGGCGTCGGGGGGAGGGGGGTCGCGGGTTTTCTCGGGCAGCAGGTTCCAGGCGGGCAGGAAAGGAGCGGAGCGGAGCGGGGCGGCGGGGGGGGGGGGGGGGCGGATACCAGTGCTGCCGCTCGGGGGCTCGGGGGCCGGAGCGCGTCCCAGCAGCGGCGGAGCGGCCAGCCGGGGGACAGAGGCCCGGGCGGTGTCGGGAGGCGCTGGGCCTGCGGGGGCGGGAAGGAGGAGCGAGGAGAGAGCGGGAGCTCGACGGGGAAGCGGGGAAGATGCTCAAAATGGCGCTGGGGCCGGACTGCGGGGAGGGCGAGGGAAGAGCCTGGGCCGCCATGACTGCCGCTCCGGGATGCTCGGTCCCCGCGCGCGTCTTCGCCTTTCCGGGTCTTCCGGGCGCCGCCGAAGAAAGGGAGCCGAGAGCCTCCTTGTAGGTTTTGTTTTATTTAAAAAAAAAAAAAAGAGGGGGCGAGGTGGACGTGGAGCCCGCGCGGGGCGGGCCGGGCAGGCCGGGCTCGGCCTGGCGGGGTCTGCCTCGCGACCCCCCGCCCTGCGCCCCGAAGCCCGCCCGCGCGCCCGCCCGCGCGCTCCCCGAATGCGGGCCTGCCTGCCTTCCAACAGCTTCGTCCGCCCGCTCAACCCCGTCTCCTTTCCCCTCCGCACCCTGCCCCGCTCCTTGCAGACCCCGTACGCGGGAAGCCGAGGATCGATCTACCCCGTCTGCCTTCTGGTTCGTTCCCGGGAACGCGGAGATTTAAAGGGCCCTGGAAAGCCATCCATCCTCCTTAGGTTTACTTAATATTTCTCTGGCTCAGAAACAGACACCGCGGGGCTACCTCCCTAGCAGATGCTGCCGTTCTTGAAGAGCAGTTGATTTCCTGGGCCTCCCAGACTTTCCCCTGGACC